TAATAACAAATATTAAATAATAAATAATTATAAATATCTGAATAATCTCTAAAGTAAAATTTTATAATTAAAATCTCAAAAATTTGATATATGTGCAATGGGTAAAAGAAGTATTGGCCCACTATGTTGCAAGAAAATTTACCTAATTAGAAAATTTCGATTTTAATGTATGTTTGTGTGCACGTAAAGCATAATGAGTTATATGCGAAGTGGTTTGTGTATGAACAGGCAATCTTTCTCAGAGGATCAAATATTTTTATTCGAATATATTTATTGCCAGAATTTTGTTTACGATATGCCTACAGAAAATAAAAATTGAAACATTTTTCGGAATTTTATTACCGTTGTATTATTTATTATAAAATTATTTTTAAGAAAAGCACTGAATATAATATGAAAATAAATGTCTAAAATTTATTAAATGGAAATTCTCTAAATTGTACTTACGTTTGCTCTATGTAATGTTACATTGAAAGTCGTTGGATGTTGCTCTACCACTCTAAATTCTACATCACGAGGAAGATACCCATTTGCATATACCTGTAAATCAAAGTTATAACAATTGTATAAATAATTAGTAATATAAATCGTATTTTTATATGTTATTTATATATGCTCTATAAACTTTATATATAGATATAGGTATTTTATACATAAAAGTATATAATTAAGGCATGTAAGATATATATAATATTTTATATTTTATATTATAATTAAGTTATATATGTATGATATAATAAATATATTAAATTATATAAATAAATTATATAAATTTTATATAATTTATACATATGCATATAATTTACGTATATTTCTAATTATGATACTAATGCATAAATAAAAATTATATAATTGCATTAAAATTTGTAGTAACACAGTGAATTATATATTATCTTTTGGCTTAATATTAATTAAGTTTCAAGAAATTACCTCTAGTTTATACATTCCTGGCAGTAGAATCCTCCAAAATTCGCCATATTTTGTAGTCAGAAAACTAACATCTCTCGATTTCACTTTAATGGAAGCTCTCTCAATGGGATTTCCATTTTCATCGATGACAAACCCACGGACTCCTCTATGAGCCTCCGCTAAGAATTTAATGAGAGCCTAGAAAGAAATCAACAGCACACGATCATTAGTTTAATTATAGTAAACTGCATGCGAATCGTTTCATTACGATCTTCGTAAATTATCGTTCGAAACTAAACAATTTACAATATCGAGAAAAAGACTTTGAAGACCAAAAGTGCACTTCAACGTTCAAGAAGAAACTTTACAAAAGAAAATTTAAAAAATCGAAAGAAATTATAGCAGCAGGGGATTTTAAAGTCTAAGAAAAGATATCGTTAAAGGAGATTTTGAAAACCGAAGTAAAACATTACAAGGAAAGATTTTATGAAGCAAGAAAAAATAGTGCAAGGATTTCAAATATTAAAAAGAAATATTAAAAAAGAAAATTTTAAGGATCAAGGAAAAACATTACTAAAAGAATTTTAAGATCCAAACAGAAACATTGTAAAGAAGAGATTCCAAAAGTTGAAAAGGAATATTGTAAAAGAAGATTTCAAATATTAAGAAGAAGCATTGAAGAACAAAATTTCAAGGACCAAGAAGAAACATTATTAAAAGAAATTTAAGATCCAAACAGAAACACTGCATATAAGAGATTCCAAAAATTAAAAAAAAAATATTGTAAAAGAAGATTTCATTCAAATATTAAGAAGAAACATTGAAAAAGAAAATTTCAAGGATCAAGAAGAAACATTATTAAAAGAATTTTAAGATCCAAATAATAACATTGCGAAGAAAGAATTACAAAAATTAAAAAGAAATATTGTAAAAGAAGATTTCAAATATTAAGAAGAAACATTGAAAAAGAAAATTTCAAGGATCAAGAAGAAATATTATTAAAAGAATTTTAAGATCCAAATAATAACATTGCAAAGAAGAGATTCCAAAAATTTAAAAGAAACATTGCAAAACGAGACTACAAGAATAAAAAGAAAATATCGCGAAAAGAGATTTCAGATATTAAGAAGAATCATTAGAAAAGTGAATTTTCGGTGTCAAGAAGAAACATTGTAAACGAGAATTCGATAATATATTGTCTTCTTAACACGTTCCTTTTTTCATTTGAACTTACCACACGATTTTCCTCCCAGTAAAATTGCAGATCAGAGGCAGGTGGATATTTACAGCACGAAAGTTCTAGTGTAATTTCCATACATCCGTTCCAAACGTAGTTAAAGTCTTGCATTCCGCCGGTGAGTGGATACCATTGTGCTCCATTAGTGATACCATTTTTAAATCCTGGTTGAGATGGCGAACATGGCAATCCTTGGTACATGGATCTATGGTTTTGTGAATACATCAGCGACAAATGTTGAAATACGTCGTCGTCTGGCGAAATACTCGGCGCCGATGTATAACTCTGAAACACTATATTGTTCTTATAAACCTTGGATCAGATATATTTTCTACTAAATTTCAGAAATTTTTACAAAATTTTCGTTTTGGTACTAAACTTAATCTTTACGAATTCTGCGTTTTAATATTAAATTTAATTCCTTTGATATCGTATGTTTCATATCAAATTTAACTTTTGCAAAATTTACATTTTGTTCAGTTTAATTTTTGCAAAATTTGAAGTTTGATGTCAAATTTAATTTTTATAAAATTTCACGTTTCATATTAAATTTAATTTTTGTAAAATTTGTATTATGATATTAAATTTAATTTTTGCGAAATTTACGTTTCGATGCTCAATTTAATTATTATGAAATTTGTATATATATATAAAAGTAATTTATAAATTGTTATAACAAGAAATACATAAAGAAATATTGTAAAAGAAGATTTCAAATATTAAGAAGAAACATTGAAAAAGAAAATTTCAAGGATCAAGAAGAAATATTATTAAAAGAATTTTAAGATCCAAATAATAACATTGCAAAGAAGAGATTCCAAAAATTTAAAAGAAACATTGCAAAACGAGACTACAAGAATAAAAAGAAAATATCGCGAAAAGAGATTTCAGATATTAAGAAGAATCATTAGAAAAGTGAATTTTCGGTGTCAAGAAGAAACATTGTAAACGAGAATTCGATAATATATTGTCTTCTTAACACGTTCCTTTTTTCATTTGAACTTACCACACGATTTTCCTCCCAGTAAAATTGCAGATCAGAGGCAGGTGGATATTTACAGCACGAAAGTTCTAGTGTAATTTCCATACATCCGTTCCAAACGTAGTTAAAGTCTTGCATTCCGCCGGTGAGTGGATACCATTGTGCTCCATTAGTGATACCATTTTTAAATCCTGGTTGAGATGGCGAACATGGCAATCCTTGGTACATGGATCTATGGTTTTGTGAATACATCAGCGACAAATGTTGAAATACGTCGTCGTCTGGCGAAATACTCGGCGCCGATGTATAACTCTGAAACACTATATTGTTCTTATAAACCTTGGATCAGATATATTTTCTACTAAATTTCAGAAATTTTTACAAAATTTTCGTTTTGGTACTAAACTTAATCTTTACGAATTCTGCGTTTTAATATTAAATTTAATTCCTTTGATATCGTATGTTTCATATCAAATTTAACTTTTGCAAAATTTACATTTTGTTCAGTTTAATTTTTGCAAAATTTGAAGTTTGATGTCAAATTTAATTTTTATAAAATTTCACGTTTCATATTAAATTTAATTTTTGTAAAATTTGTATTATGATATTAAATTTAATTTTTGCGAAATTTACGTTTCGATGCTCAATTTAATTATTATGAAATTTGTATATATATATAAAAGTAATTTATAAATTGTTATAACAAGAAATACAATTATAAGGATTTAAAATTTTGAAAATGAAATTATGCATGATTTTTATTTTCGACTCATTTCATTTCGCTTTTATTTTTTCCACTAATTATTTATATTGAAGAATTTTTATTTATAATCTTATTATACAATAAATATTTCTTTATTAAATTATAAATTTAATAAATTTAGAAATATATACGACGTTGTGTAATCTAACATAAGTATCAATGATAATTATTAAATTAATATTTAAGAGAATTATATTACAGAATAAATTTTATCTCATTTTAGAAAAATGTTTAAATACTTTTACAATAAAATACTTTATCGTTTATACGTTTCTTTTCTTGTATAACTTATTACAAAAATTATTTTTAGAAATATTTATTATTCTCGTACAAAAAAAAATTATTTCCAAATTATTATTACATACTAATTAAATATGATTTATTAAAAATTGATTACTATCATTATTCTCACAAAAATAATATTAGCGAAGCGCTAGAACAAATTTTCTGATTAACAAATATACTCTACCTGCACATAATGGCGCTGACCGGCATATTCCTGACAGCATGAAAAGTTACACAATGCGATCAGATTGCTTTCAATGGTATTAATTACATAGTACAATTCCCATTGTAATAGACATTATCCATACAATTTAATAATTTCAGTGTTTCATTACAGTACGTTTCCTGATATCTACGTTATTATTCTACTGATTTATTCAATTGTCAATCTTTGCTATCAACTTTTATTATCAATAGACATAATATTGCAAACGATTGCGATTAAAATTCGAGAAAATCATTTCAAAAACGTCAAAGTTATGAGTTTAACTCTTTGAAGCATAGCATTTCTCAACAAGAAGCTTATTTACACAGAATCTTAAAGAAAAGAAAAAAGGTAACAAAATTCTATTGCATTATTTATTTAGTTTAAAAATATCACAAAATACTTAAAGAAAAAATTTAATTTCACTTGGATAATTAAATATAAGATTAAATAAAATTTTTAGTCAGCATATAAGTTGATTAATGGTATTGCACAAAACATGTCCTTTTTCCATACGTAATGACAAATTATGGTATGTGTCGCACACTATGCAAGTGAAATAAGGTAATCCTTATTTAATCTATCATTTCCATATTTATTTTGTTAAATTTTTATTTATTATTTTCCTTGCTATGCTTTCAGTAATTTGAAATGGTATCAAAAAGAGACATTGTGCGTGTTCAGGCGTTAAAAGGATCGTCCTTTACATATTTATACAGGGTGCCTGTTTTATCTGGACTCGATGAAATATCTCTGAAACGACGAAAGATAGAGAAGTACCACAACTTCTCACGGAACGAAATGACAATAGCAACTCGTTAGACTCGTATTAATGTAAACTTCCTCATCAGGTATAATATATAGCATTCTACTAAAGAAATAAAATTGAACCATGAAAAAATATTTCTTTCACCACTTCCTCCACAAAGAAGGTATTTATACCATTTTATGTCACCCTTTATATTAAACAATTTCTGTTTTTACATCTTTTTCTCATCTTTCGTCGTTTCTGAGATAATTCATCGAGACCAGATAAAACAGACATCCTGTGTGTATTTATATATTTGATATTATGTATATTTATATATTTGCAGGATCTTTTGTATCACAGTGCTTCAAAGAGTTACAAATTTGCCAGTAGGAAGAACGAACATGTGTAAAAACAAACTTACGCGAGTTAGGCGTGTTGTCGAAAGGATAACTGGCAACCAAGGCACCTCCGTGCAAGCTTCCGGATAAAACGAATTGAATTTTAGAAACCCATTCTTTCACAGCTTCTGTTTCCGGTTGGCTCTTTTTATTGTTCTGTTTGAAGTAATCCGGGAAGTTCCGATTTAGATCGAAACCACGTGCGTTGTACCTATTATTGAAAGGCACGATTAAGTTACGAAATAAGCATAACAATGGTGTTGAAAAATCTATCTATAAATTCTAAAATTTATTAGAATTTATCTATTAAATTTAGATCTATTAAAGTCTAGATCTATTAATATTTATATCTATTAAATTCAGATCTATTAAACTATAGATCTATTAGTGTTTAGATTTATTACATTTAGATCTATTAAATTCTAGATCTGTTAATATTTAGATTTATTAAAGTTTAGATTTATTAAATTCAAATCTATTGAAATCTAGATCTATTAATATTTACATCTATTAAATTCAGATCTATTAAACTATAGATCTATTAGTGTTTAGATTTATTAAATCTAGATCTATTAAAATCTAGATCTGTTAATATTTAGATTTATTAAAGTCTAGATCTATTAAATCTAGATCTATTAATATTTACACCTATTAAATTGAGATCTATTAAAGTCTAGATCTATTAATATTTAGCTTTATTAAAGTCTAGATCTATTAAATCTAGGTTTATTAAATTTGCATCTACTAAATTTGGATCTATTAAAATCTGGATCTATTAAATCTGGATCCATTAAAATCTATCCAAAAATAATAAAGAAATCTATCTAACGAAAAAAGGTAGCGGCGAACAAGAGAAATGTCGTTTATATATTTTTAAAAGTTTAGATTCTACATTTATTTTTCCCTTAACGAATTTACAAATATTTTTAAAAGATGAAGAACTTTAAAAAATGTTATTTTATCATTTGAGTAAAATTAATTTCATTGATTTACGTTATGAAGTCTCGTGGATATTTTGCGTATTTTACACCACTGAGCTATAAAAATCTGACACACCGAACTATTTACACCACTGAACTATAAAAATAAATTATAGTCTTTAGAGTTGAAAGGAAGTTAGAGATATTCTTGAAACATTAGCTTATCTGTTAATCGGAAGAAAATGTAGATATATTTCTGCATATTTTTAATTCCGTACAATTAACTATGAAAATCATAATTTGTATAATCTGTTTAACCACTTTCACTATAATGACTATCTCGTCGTGAGATTCTTATGCAAAACTGCACACAGATGATAATACTCGTCACACTCAACGATACAATTATACTTAACGCGTTTCAAAATAAGTAAAATTCAAATAAATTCTAAAAACTATATAACTTATTAAACTTAATTGCTTTATCAATGCACTATATTTTAGAATTAAATCATAGTGCAAGGAATTAAATTAGAGAGAACTTTATAAAGATATTTTTTAAAATATGACAAAACATGATAAATGTCATTGTGAACAGTAATTTAGTTGTGTTAAAGTGAAGAAAATTCAATTATATTCCAGATATGTGTCCAAATAATGCATTTTAACCCTTTAAATCCCTCATTTAAATTGAAAGAAATTATAACAAAATAAAAAATATTGTTAGTTACTTCTTCGAAAAATTTATATTCTTTTATAAATATTATTTATTGAATTTAAAATTTCGTTGACTCGAAAACAAAACAATATTTGGAATTAAAAATATATTATATTTAATATAAATATATCGAGCATTATTATTCTAAAATGCGTTCAAATTGCGAATATGTTTTAATTTCGGCTATATTTTACTTTAAATAGCGGAAACAAATTATTTTTCCTTCATAAGGAATATGCTTGTCGCGGATCAAAAAATTGTCACATTTTCATGTTGAGTACACCCGATATAAGCATCGAAAGGGTTAAAGATTAGAGCTTACGCTGAATTATCTCGACTATACGTTTGAAATTTTTTGGTAAATAAAAATTGGAATTCCTTACCTGCCTTGACCACCTTCGCAATATCCTTCTTTGGAAACTTCGAAACCATCAGGATTCATCGATGGGAGAATGTGAATTCTTGTATTGTCTAAAAGCCACGTGACATATGGATCCGATCCATACTTCGTCACGAAGAACTAAAAGTGAGAAATAGAACTTGGAATATTGTATTGTCGAAATTTTACATGCATGTGTTGGTGAGCAAAATATTTTTCAATTTTTGTAATAAATAGTTAGTTAGTAATAAATAAATAGTAATTATGTTAGGAGCCATGTTTGATTATAATCGAAGAAGAAACAAGTATCTTATTATAGAAGAATTGTGTAAATTATGTTTAAGGACCAAAATATGGAAGAGTATTAAATTCTACGGTTTAATAATTAAAATAATTTAAAATTTGAAATTTGTATTAAACCATATACTATAAATAACCATAAACAAATTGTCAGTTGTTTGATTATATGATAATCCGTTTAAATATGTTATATTAAAATAAACACACGATATTTTATGAAATATTTAATATTAAATATTACACGTATTTTATTAAATTTTTGAAGAAATTTAGTACTGAAAGTCCTGATAACTAACAGTTGGATATTAAGATATACTAATTTTTCGTATAGGTTTAGAACTTGGTTTAATGCTATTCACGTGCTATGTGTACCATAAATATCTGACGACAGTATGTAGAGATAATAGCTTCATTAGCAGAACAATAACATTTGCTGTACGTCAATCAAGTGGTATTTTTCTCTAGTTAAGTATACTAAACTATTTTAAATGACTTCTATCGTAACGAATAATACTTATACGTGCTTATAAAGTATAACAAGTAAATATCAAATAGTAAGACTTACGAATACTATTTGTTTTTCATGAATTACTATACGCAAATTGTTATGATACAGATACATCACTCATTTAATGCGAAACTTTAGTATTAAAAACTTATTTAAAATCATTTGCCTTAATATACAGGGTGTCCCAGCAAAGATAGTACAACCTCTTCGGTTGTACCAATGATTCTGATCTATTGATGATCTAAGACATAGTTAAGTGCACGTATACTTAGTGAATATTGAAAGTCGATTTTTTCGAAAACGAAGTTTCAAATAAAAAAATTTTATTCTTTCTTTTCGATTTGTTTCTGCATGTAAAATCACGCCCTTTCCGGTTGTACTATCGTTGCTGAAACATCCTGAACAATATATAATGTTTAAGACATAAAATATAAAATATAAAATACAAAATGCAAAATATCAAATGTATTATACAGAATATAAAATATAAAATATAAAGTATAATATATATTATATATTCTACATTATATACTATGCATCATATATTATATATTATTATATTTTATATTTTATATTCTATATAATACATTTCTTTAACATTTATTCAAGTATAATTATAATTTATATGTTATGCATTATATATTATATGAAATATGTATACATAAATTTACTACAAAAATTATCGTAAGCAATTCATCGTAAGACTTATATTAATAAAATTCATGAATATATGCAGATCAATTCTATTTACAGATATACAGATGTTTTGTATGTTAATGTATAACTGTTCTTCTTAAGAAATCTTATAGATATAGGGTTAATAAAGTTAGGTCGTGTATTATACGACTACTTACGTGAATCAGATGTAACATTAATTCACGACCCACGGCTTCATTCCCATGTATATTGGCTACATATTTCACATCAGGCTTACCGATCATATGCTCGTAAGGCGAGGAGGAAACAACCATTACCCACAAATCACGACCTGTGAAACATGCCCTTTAGTTTATCTCGATTTTACTAAAATATCAAGAAAATCAAACAATATACCAATATTCGAATAAATATTAATTCAATTTCCTACTATACTAATTTGCAGGATTCATTTTAATAACCTTCGTCAATTTTTTGAAATTTTTAAGCAATAGCTAGATGTAAGGTAATCAGAAAAATACGTCGACTCTATAAAAACGAATTGAACGTGATAAAATATTCCCTTTCTTTCCTGAAAAATCAATAAAATTAACAAGGCTCCTTCTGATTCAATTTTCAATTATTATGTCACGGTAATCAGTGCATGAAATATCAATTTAACTATTTTTTTGTAAACATAAAACAGTGTTCTTAATACAAAAGTAAAAATTTCTTGGTATAATGACACTTCGATTATCGTTACCTAAGAATTAAACAATTATCGATACTTAGAATTATTTAATAATTTAACAATGTATGATATTTTAATAATTACAATATATTCAATTTACTATTAAATTCACTTTGCTAATATTTAATTCAACAATGAAATATTAGTAAAATTAAATTTAATAATCAATAATACTTTCGTGATTCGATATTTAATTATTTAATATCGACTTGCGATTATTTAAATAAAGGAGCGTGTTTAATACAAGGATAAAAATTTCTCATGGAACATACCTTTCACGGACTTTCCTATGGAATATAAGGCAGTGAGGTTCTGAAATCGCAGGGACGTTGTACGTAGAAAACGACTCATTTGGTCATAATTATGATATGTGAAGTCGATACTGTACGGTTCTTCATAAACGTGGAAACGAGCATTGTAGTGGCTCGTAAGATCTTTGTTAATGTGTTGCGAAGCAGCGGCAATTTCGTGAAATGCCCCGAGAATGGTAACTAAGAAAATCGGCCCGTACATTCTGCGAATTAAACGAAGATTTTACTTCACCAACGGTATTGTAATGACACAATATGATGAGTTGCGAATATTTGTTAAGCTTATTTAATGAATATTTGATAAGCATCCACACGCATATGTTCGTATATATGTATACATGCGTATATATGCACGCACATGTACACGTGCATTATCGGTTATAATTTGAAACTATAATCTTTACGCTAAATGCGTTAGTATGTAAAATCCAAGATACTGGAATAAATTGGTATACTGCATTTGGATTCCACGTTTAAATACAAATAGCAGAGGATGATATTTTACTGTGCCTTTTGTATTTAAACATAGACAGTAAACATAAAACTGGAATATCTTTATAACAGTAACTATAATAATTGTAACAGTAAAAGTAACGGTAGCAACAGAAAAATCAATGCAGAGATTAATTTTACTGTTATAAAGATATTCCAGTTTTGTTTGGCTGCAATCAAACATGGTGTCTATTTATTAACGAAACTATGCGGGACATCTTGTTTCAAATATAATTATGTATAGCTTTATATTTTCATTTTAATTAATATCGTCTGTTATCGACAGAAATTAAGAAATAAGGTAAGAATTTTTATATATTTTCTATTTTTCGAGAAAAAATTAAAATTAAAAAATTAAAATTAATAAGTCTTTATACAAGATATTTGAACAAAATTTATTTATTTATTTATTGTTGATATTTGAAAAGAATTTATTTATTTATCGTTGAAGATGTTTTATTTTTAGGATAATTGATAAATGATCATAAACCACGAATAATTATTTATTTAAATGATATTTGAGCAATAAAATGTTAAATTTTATTCATTTGCTACACAGTCATCACTAAATTTAGAGAAAAGTCTTTTAAAGTTTTAGATACGAATAACCAGTAAAAACCATAAAAATTTGTTTAGTTTATAAAAAGCTATTACAGACGACAAAAATTATTTTTAGTTACCATAATTAGGATATCGTTTTGAGAACCAATGTTGATCAGGAACACTTCTTCTCGTTACTTTTGATTATTGACAATTTTTACTATTATTATGGTTAATTAGTATAATTACAATTATATATATAATTCACGAGATAAATATTCTTTAATATTTATTCTTTAATATTTACTAGAACTACCAATATGTAATTTGTACCTAAAAAGTAGCATAATTATTATAATAAACTAAAATTAAAAAATATTTGTATTAATATATTATTTATATGATATTATAATATAATATTA